CGCAGCCCAGACCAGCCGCACGCGACAGGCTAGACACGCTCAGGAGTGCCGCCACGGTAGCCTGAGTCAAGACGCCCCACCAAGAGTCTGAAGTGTCTTCGGAGACAAGTTTCGCCTCGACTTGCTTCTCCTTCGTCGTGGAGTGTCGGCCGCCCCTTGACAGCCCGACGACAAGAGCCTGCCTGCGGTTCCCCTCACGCGAACGCCTCGCCTAAAAGAAAGTCCCTCTACCTACGCCCGCAACTCCTCCCGCCTCCCCCCTCTTGACCCCCGCGAAGACAGCAACAACAGGACCCCGTTTCCCGCCGCCCCTTGACCCGGCCAGCAAGTGTCCACCCGACGAGCAGAGCGTGGCGAGTGAGCAAGCACAGCGAGTTGCGAGTTCGTGACCTGGACAGCCCGCATCTGGGTCATCATCAGCCGTCATCCCGCCCCCACAGCGCCAGCATCCCTCAGTGCACCTCGCCGCGGCAGAGGTGGCAGAGGATCAGCCCAGCGCTCGTGAGCCTTCTCCGTCGACTCCCCGAGGGTGAGTGTGAGGCCAGGCGACCTCCAGCCGGCCAGCACAGCACGGCGACTCTCGTGACGCGGCCAACTTTCACGTGACGCAACGCCTGAGTTTCGTCACGGGGACAACGCCGTGGCTGCCTCTTATACCCGGTCTCGCAGGACAACCAGTCACTGCAGTGCCCAGCCGTCGGAGAACACCGTCGTGCCACGCCTCCTCCGCCCCCGCTGCCGTCGCCGCGCGCTCAAGCAACACGCTGCATCTTGCCAAGTCCTGCAGGAAAGTGAAAGTGACGAGCGGACCGGCCAGCCCACCCCTTCTTCTTCTTCTTCTTCTTCTACTTCTGCATCAGAGGAAAGTGTCGCGCCCCTGTCCAGTGTGAGTCCTCCTCCAGACGCGAGGACAAGTGCAACCAGTGTGAACGTGAGGAAAGAACGTCCCTACCTTCCCTGTGAGTGCCGCTTGGCTGGCACCGGTAGCCTCAAGTGCCGTAATTCATCGTGAAGTGTAAATAGAAAGTGTTTCTGGCGCCGCAGCCCTGCGGATAACCGCGTCGCCAGTGTGAGTGTGAGCAGTGCCGAGAGTGGAGGGTGCCTTGAGAAGGAAGTTGTGTTCCAGTGCCAAGTGAGTTGAGTCGTGTTTTCAGTGTGCCTGTGATATAAAGTGTGATAAAATGCCTGGTTACCACGGAACGAAAGTGTCTTTCCACCCGGAGTACCACATGCTGCATCCCCGCGCGAAGGAGATGCTGGCCCGCCAGCACGGCCACCCTAACCCCACCGGCCACCCCATGTTCGACGCCCTCAAGTCGAAGCATGCTCAGGAGAAGGCTGAGTACATGCGCATGCTGAAGGGCGCTCGGCGGATGGGCGGCGACGCTGCCTACCCGACCTTCGACAGCCTGAAGCTGCTGGGCGCCGAGAACGACGCCAACTACTTGGACCGCTTCATGAGCGAGGGCGAGCGCCGCCCCCGCAGCGGCTCCCACGGCCAGAAGTACGGCAGCAAGCGCAACAGCGTCAACGTGGACAACATCAAGAAGACCCTGATCGGGAGCCTGCGCTCGGCGGCCAGCGACGACAACATCTACGAGACTCTGGAGGTGATCAACTACAGGAAGACGGTGGAGGCCATCAGCCGCAATAACAAGGTGCGCTCCGTGCCCAAGACGGGCCACCCGCTGTTCGACCACCTCCGCGTCGAGAACGTGCTCAAGCCCCGCCGCCCACAGCACCACCACCGCCACAGCGACGGCAGCAACTCGCCCAGCTCCGGCTCCGGCGACGACGAGTTCGAGTACGTGAAGAAGCCCAACTGCCGCTTCTCGCGGCGGGAGGTGCTCCTGGGGGCGACGCCGCACAAGCACCAGCAGCGGGAGCCCAAGCAGCAGAAGTACCCCAGCAAGCACATCCGCCACGTGATCGAAGAGGGCTCCGAGTCGGAGGACGACTGGGCCATCCCGAGGCCCAAGATCTGCGAGGGCGCGCGCTCGCGACGCACCGGGGCCGGCCTCATGACCCAGCTCTCGCATGAGGAGTCCGACAGCTCAAGTAAGTCGACGGGCCTCCGGTGACGGCCAGGGCCATCTTCCTTCGCACCGCCCACGCTGTAACGCCCTCATACTTGAGAGCCTGCACTGCACGCCTTGCCTGGTGGCCCCGCGCCCCGCGGGCCGCACCCATGGCACCCGCTCTTCCGTACCGGAGCCTGCAGGCCCGCGGCCCCGCCCTCAGCACGCCTGACTGATGGCCGCGGGTCCTGCTTGATCCTGTACTGCACCCAGCACGTGTGGCCCACTCGTTGGTCCACACTAGTCCTTTCTGCCTGTGGTGCGGCCCGCGGACCTCCCGGCCCATCTCTCAGAGGGCCTCGGATGGTGCCGCGCGGGCCACACCGGGCCGGGCTCTCTAGCCTTCACGTGCCTCCGGGTCACCTGTGAGGGCCAGCTGGCCAGCTAGTGTGTCATGTGGGCTGGGACTTTAATCAGCGGGCCAGCTGGCCCCGCGGACCGGGGAGGCATCGTGGGCCGTGTGAGTGTGCACGGAGCACTGCCTGCGCCAGTGTTGTAGTATACTTTGTGTGCACCACTCACGCTGCACGACACACACACGAAAAGACACCCCACACCCACCCTGTACATCCCATGTACATAGTTGTACAGCTACTCTTTCCATGCATTAATGTTTTTTTTATTATTATTTTCTCTATAAATGTTTATGTTTGAATGTTGCAGCTGAATGTGAATTGGTTTAGGTTGGTATTGAGAGTAGATGCAATTTGTTCCTGGGACCTGTGTTACTTCAGTATGCCGGAAAGGTAGACCTGCGAATCTACCAGAACCTGTATCTACCCGTTCGGGCATTGTGCTTCAATAAAAGAGGTAGAGGGAAGACCACTTTGTTTTATTGAATCACCCATGTCTTGGCTCAAACCAGATGACTAACGGGACCCTCAGTTTCAACATTCGAGCTCCATCTTTAAGCATAAATAAGATCTAAACCAGTAATAAAAATATATCAAAACAGCAGACGAAGAGGAACAGCTCGGCAAAAGGTACAGGCAATTGGCTCTCACGCTTTTCTTTTTATATTTTTTTTCCTTTCTTCTCTTTCATTTGGTATTTGTTGTTTTTACTTATTTTTAGTTTTTTCACTCTTTCACATTCATTTCTGCAACATTTCTGATTATTCTGCATGCAATTTGCTACTCATTTTTGTTTTGCTTTTTCTCTCTCTTTTACCTCTTCTGTTAGTCTCTTACTTGTTTTCCATTTCCTTCTCGCTCTCCTCCCTATCCCCTTTAGTTATCTCTCGCCCCTTCGCTTTCAATGGCCTTCTTCTTCCCCTCTTCCCCTCACGGAGGGTCCTACTCACACATACTCCTAAGTATGACACTATACGTACGCCAGCTTATTCCATTCAGCCTCATGCTTACCCTTGATAAACTCACACTGCACGCTCAATTAATTCAGCGCTTACGTGTATTTAACTTACCCAAACTGCTCTTATGCTCTCTTAGTATCATTCTATTCATCTACTGAGCTCGTTCATTTTCTTTCCTATCTCTTCTCTTCTTCTCTCCTTCCTCTGACTCAGTTCTATCGCTCTCTTCTACTTCTCTTGTGGGTTCGCTTTGCTCGCTCCCTCTCTCCTGTCTTCTCTCTCCTCTCGTCGTCGCGTCTCCTTCACGTTCTCTCTCCTCTCCCCTCTCTCTCTCTCTCTCTTCTTCTCCCTCTCTCTCCTCTCTTTCACTTCTCTTCCCCTCTCTCCCTCTGTCACTTCATCTCTCTCCCTTTTCCACCCCCACCTCTCCCCTCTCCCTGGCCACTCTCCGCTGTTCTCTGAGCCGCGGGGCTTGCCGTTATTTCCAACCCTCTCTATCGCACTTCATTGTGGTCTTCTCACCTCGTCTTCTGTGCGCCGCTCATCTTTAACTTCTCTCTGTACTCCTTCCGCCTCCTGCCGTCTTTCACCCTCGCGCTCGTTCTCTCACATCGTAGTCCGCACTTCTCTGCACTCTTTCACCTCTCCTTGCAGCTCCTCTTCCCTTCTTCATTCCCTTTCTCACCCATGTCTCCTTAGCGTCCCTGTGGTCTCTTACTCCTCTCCCCGCTTCTCTTTCAACTCTCCTCCCTCTTCTCTCACTCTCCGCTCTCTCTTTCAGCTCTCATCGCTCCCCCTCTCTTCTTCTCCATGTTCTCTCTCTTCTCGTCTCTCTCATCGATCCATCACGGCTTCCTCTCCTCTCACTCTCTCTTCTCTCCTCCTCTCTTCCCTCCTTCCTCCCGTTTCTCTTTTCCCTCCCTCCGTCTCATCGTCCCGTCTCCTCCCTCCTCTCTAGTTATTCATCTCCCCTCTCTCTTCCTCTCCCTCTCCCTTCTCTCCTCGTTGATGTCCTTCTCTCTGTCCCTCCTCCCTTCTCTCCCCTTGCGCCCTCTCCACACATTGCGACCTCTCTGGTTCCCTCTCCTCCTCTTTCCCTCTCTCTTCCCTCTCGTCCTCTCCTCTCCCGCTCACCGGCGTCCTCGTCTCCTCTCAGTCTCTCTTACTCTGTTCTCTCTGTCTTACTCTGCTTCTTTCTCTCAACTCTCCCTCTCCTCCTTGTTCGATTGCGTTGCTTGTTTTTTTGGCTTCGTTCCTCTTTGCTTTTTCATGTATCGTCGTTTTTTTTTTTCTTCCTTCACGCTTATTTTTCTTTTTTTTTATCTCTTCTTCTGTTCTCTATTTTGTTTTTTTCTTTTTTCTTCTTTGTTTTTTGTTATTCCTCATTTTTTTCTCGTCTCCTTCCTTCGTTCTTCTCTTATTTTTTACTTATTTATCCTTCATTTTATTGGCTTCCTTTTTTTTTTCTTATATTTTTGTTATCTTGTTTTATCGTTACTTTCTTATTTGCTGCTTTTGCTTTTATCATTGTTTATTCTTAATTTTCTTATTTACTTGTTTTTCTCATCTTTTTTTTTCTCAATTTTTTTTTAATTATTATTTCTTGTTATTTCTCTATTTATTATTTTTCTTTAGTCTTCTTATTTTTATTGTCTTTTCTCTTCTTTCTTTTTCTTTTTTTTTCTTTTTTCTTTTATATTTTCTTTTATTCTTATTTTTTTCTCGTTAGTCTTTCTTATTTTGTTTTATTTTAGTTTTTGTTCATTCTTTCTGATTTCATATTTTATTGATTGCTTCTTTCTGTTCTTATTATTTTTTTTTGCTTTTTATTCTTTATTTTTTTCTTCATTATCCTTTACTTTTTTATTTCCTCACTTATGTATTATTTTTTTTATTTTCTTTCTTTATATTATTAATTATTTTAGCGGTCATTATTTTATTTTCTTATTATTTTTGTTCTTATTTCTTTGACTTATTCTATCTATTAATCTTCTCTTTTATCCTCGTTGCTTATTGTGTTTTTCTCCCAGCCACGCCCATTAACTTATTTCTACTATTGCCCACATATGTAGTGCCATCTATAATTCCAAAATTCGTATACCAACCGTTGGTAAACCATAATCTTATATTCTCCTCTTTGACATCAATTAGCGCGACCATGTTCTCTTCGCGCGTTCTTTTGATTTATCCTACATTCCACGCCTATTTGTTTACATCACCCTCTCTACCTCTTCGCCTACTTTTCCACAATATCTCTTTTTTCTTACCTTCTGTATTTCAACTATATTCCTTATTCTTCAATTATTTCTCTTGTTATTCTGACTCTTTTTCTCCTTTCCTCACTTTTTCTTTGTCACATGACATCTATTCATTATTTTTTTTTCGCGCTACTTTGCGAGCGAGTCCTATTTTATTCTTATTCCTTTCGTCAATTCCAGAACTCATGCGTTTCGGTCTAATCTCTAAGTATAGCTAATGTCTGTTGTTGACCGGGCTTATATGTGTGTGCTATTTTTGTTAGTATCGTTCTTCCGTAGTAGTCCTGGCATGTTGGTTAGAACTCTGGCACTGAGGCGCTTATCTGTCCCTTATTCTATTATTACTGTTATATTAATTGTGCTCTACGTGCTCGTTCATGTAGCGCTCTCGTGAGTGCTTCGTTTTAACTGTGTCTTTCGAGTTTTTATGCCTTCTTTTTAGATTTTATACTTTTTTTTTCTTTTTGAGTATATGTCTTCACTGTCTGTGTCTGATTTGATCTTGCTTTCCTCTGCGCCTGGCTGTTATGATGATTTCGATTTTTTTTGTCTTTCTTTTTTTTTTTGCTTCGGCTACTCTTCTTTTATCCTCTTTCCTTTTTCTTGTTTTTTCGGTGTGTGTTGTTTCGCGTTATCTTCCTATCCATGTTCATTGTATCTTTTTTTTCTCCCTCGTTTCTTTTTTCTTCTCTCTTTCTTCTTATTTTCCGTTGTTTTTTTTGTCTCCTTTTCCTTTATTCGTCTTTGGGTCTTTTCCTCTCTGTCGGTTGCTCCTTCTCTTGTTTTTTTTTTTATTGCGCTTTTACCCTCACTTTTTTTACTATTCTCACTTCCCACTTCCCTCTTATCGTCTGTATTTTCTCTTTTTCTCGATAGCCTTTCTCTTTATGTCCGTACTTCTTCTCTCCGCATTTCTTGTTATATCCCGCGGGCGCCTGTGGGCCGATTTTGAGTTGCATGTCTCGGTGGTTTCGGGGCGGGAGGTGGAGGGTTTTTTTTTGCGATTGCTTCTTCGTTTTTGTTTTTCTGTCCGCGGGCTGTTCTTAGGGGGTCCTGTGTTGATTTTGGTATTCTTTTTGCGGGGTGTTTCTTTTGCTTTTTTCTCTTTCCTTTTCCTCCTTTTCTTTGTTCCTTCTTTTTTCTTTTTTCTATTTTTTCTCCTTGGTTCTCTCCTCTTTTTCGTCTCCTCTTCTTCCTCTTCTTTTTGTCTCCCACTCTCGTCTTTCGTCTTTCTCTCTTCTCTCGCCTTCAATCCCTCTTCTCTTCGCGTCTCTCCTCTTCTCTTCTCGTCCTCCTCTCTCTCTATGCTCTTTCTTCTCCTCTCCCTCTTCTCTCTTTATCTCTACGTCTTTCTCTTTCTTCTCTTCTCTCTCTTCTCGCTCTGCCTCCTCTTCCCTTTCCTTACTTCCTCTCTCTCCCTCTTTCTCCCTCCCTCTCCCCCTTCCTTCTCCCTCTTTCTCCTCTCTCTCTTTTTTCTCTCTCTCTCTCTCTCTCCCTCTATCTCTTCTCTCTCCTCTCTCGTTCTCTTCTCCTCTCTTCTTTATCACCTCTCTCTCTCTCATTCTCTCTTCTCCCTTTCTCTCTCATCTCCTCTCTTTCTATCCTCTCTTTCTCTTCTCGTTCTCTCCTTCTCTTCTGCATTTCTTTCTCTCTCATCTCATCCTCTCTCGTCCTGCTCCTGGGGTCTCTCTGTCTCTCTGTCTCTCTGTTTCTTCCTGTCTCTACTCTCTCTTTTCTTCTCCCTCCTTCTTTCTTCTTCCTTTTCTACTTCATCGTCTTTCTCTTCCCTCTCCATCCTCTTTTCTTTTTTTTTCTCGCTCTTTCTCTTCTTTTTCTTTTCTCTTCTCTCTTT